CCTACTGTTTAAAGGGGGGCAAAGAGGCTTCCTGTGACAGAATTTGGCTCTTACTGGTCCTAGATAGCATGTCAGGCATGCTCCTTGATTTGTGTGGTATGATGTATGGATCAAAATTAATGTGCAGCAACAACCAAAGCAAGTAGAGTAGTGAGGCAAGACAACAGACACAGGAGACTGGGACTTCTGACTCAAAGTTTTTATTTGCATTTCTGTCAACAATTGCTATGAAAGCTTTGGAAGTCTTAACAGCAAGCATCGCCTTGCCACATCAAGGTACTGTTCAGTGTAAGGGTGGCCAAACTGGCCCTTCAATACTAGGCAGCTCACTGTGTCCATTGTACAATGGGGCTAATACTTTTGATTTGCTGAGGGGTGCAATCAGGGTTATTCCCTAGTGAAGTGCTTTGGCTGCCTCAGGCTGCCAGGCACACTTAGTACATAACCTCAGCAAAGAGCCTATATTTTTGGTACCCTGACACTTAAATGAACAAAGCATGTTGCCAAGCCCTGTCTATGCCCCAGCTCATGAAAAAAATGTTTCCTTGCTTTTCTTGCCAACTTTTCTGTTCAGGCTGTATCCTGGGCATGTGTACTCAGCCAGGGGGAGCTGAGTGATTGTGGTCTTTTTCAGTCCAGGAAGGCTTAAAGGCAGTTCTGCACCCTGAATCTCTCAGGGTGAGCAGAGAAGAGTCAAATGCCAAAGGCCTTCTTCTCAGTGAGATGGGCACTGAGAAACAAGCATGAAGATTTGGACCTGTGTGTGTCTACTGGATCCTGAGCAGACCTCAGCATTTCTAAGGAAAGGATTTGGTACATGCACCTTTCTCCACTTTAAAGCAGCACTTGCATTGCAGCTAGACAAGGGCACCTGTCTCTGCTACAGTAAAACACTTTGAGCTCTTTTGATTACCTGAAAGTCACCAGAGCACCTAATGCCAAAACTCCGATGAAAAACTATACAGTTTGTCCAATAAAAGATTTCACCATAAGAAATCCTTGCCCCTTTTATAATTCCAGGACAACCACAGCTACAACATCACTCTAACACTACCAAAAATCAGACAAGAGAGACAAAGGCAAAGGGGGTCATAAAATACAGAAAGACAAGTGGGCTCAGGCAGGGAGAAGCATCAAATTAAATTGATGGCTTAATATTAGTTCATAAAAACAAGGCAAACAGAGCTGTCCCATGTCAATCCGGAGCCAAGCAAGCTGGCAGGAGGAGTTTTTGCTGGGAGACTCGTGGGAGGATCACTGTGGACTCTACATCTCATACTGTTGCAGTGGATCCATGTTTTAGGCCAGCAGACTCAATGTGCCAGATTCTAATTAGCAGGTTGACCTCAGCACAGAAAAACAAGGATTGTGAATGCCACTTCCCAATGGCTTCTTAAAAATTCTTTTTCCCTCACCTGATAGCTGTGACAACAAAAGATGCTATTAATAGCAGGCTGTATTTTGTAGGCTGCAGCAGCAGCAAGTTGGAGCAACAGTCCCTAATCTCATGAGCTGATAAGTATAGATCTGGTGGCTTGTTTTTCCAGCCCTCCTCTCCATCTGCAAAGACTGAGACTAAGTTTGAAGGATTTGGGAGGGAAGAGAGACAGCAAATCCCTTAAGGCAAAGGTCAGCAACCTGTGGCCTCCAGAGCCATTTGATTTGATTTATGGACACAGGGCTTTAGCAGCTGGACAGACCCAGTTTAGGCACATGCTGGGTGGGCAGGTGCTAGGTCCTCAGATGTTGCCACCGCTTTTCTCAGTGGCTGCACAGGGAAAGCATCCATTACCATGGCTTTTTCCTATGGCAACAGGGGAACTGTCTGCAGCCAGTGTCTGCAGGGAAAAATGCAAGTGCTGCTGAGGTCTCCCACCACTGTGCAGAAAAGCACCAGCTGTGATGCAGCTGCTGGGAAAACCAGTGGTGGCTATGGCACCTGCATCTTAACACCTGCCCACCATAATGTCTCCCAGACAAAGGTATCAAAGCACTCTACAAATATTAAGTACCTCAGCAGCTACAGCAGGTGAGGCCTTACAAAATGAATGCACAAGTAGCCTATGGGGCTCACTGTCATGGTACAAGACGTGAATTGCACAAGGTGCCCACACCAGCCTGGCCCTGTGTGCTGGCACCAGTGCATGGGGCCAGTCTGCGGGCCTGATCTGCCCTGCAGACTGGCCCTGCTCCCCTCATCCAGCCTGCAGCATGGATGAGTTTGACAACCCTGGATTACATGAACATCAACAATTGGATAGGTAGAAAAAATTAAGGTATACAACTCATCTGCTTCAGTTGTAGATCTATTAGACGCTCAATTCAGCAATGCAGAGACTTCTGAGCACTTGCCTGTCCTTCAGTCTTTAACCCCAGGATCTGAATTAGTGAGCATTAGTTCTGCAAAGCTGCCTCCACAACCTGAGCAGCTGCTCTTTGGCATCAACATCTGAACATTATTCTGCCTAGAAGCTTATGCAAGCTTATCTCTATGCAGCTACAAACCAAATACTCTCTATTTCACACACTGAAAAATGTTCTAGGAGGTTATCTCCATAAGCTGAAGTTTTCTCCAGCCTCCAAAGAAAACACTGACTCTTCACTGAATGGAGTCTGGGAAAGGAAATGAAACCCCATTTTGATGGGAAAGAAGCTGCCAGAGCACTTGACAAGGGGTCTGGAGTTCATTTACTCTATAGCAAGGTGAGGGATGGTAAAAACCAACCTGTATAATGCACATGCAATTCCTAGAAAACTCAAAAGAATGATCAATGGAGCTTTTAGATTC